ACAATGACACAGCCCACAGACATTGGTTGGACATTTCAACAATGGTTGCTCTCCTACCACAGCACACAGACATTCAGGTTGAATTCACTGATCCTTATCATCTCTAGGAAGATACGGTAGGACACTCGTTCACAATTAGCGTCTTCGGATTATTCCTCTCCTAACATCTGGTTTATATTTTGTAACACCACCCCCCACAATTTCTTTACACAGCTGGCCTTTTTCCAAACAAATCCACTGCAATAACTAGTACTTTTCCCAACAAATTTTCATATCCGCATTTCTAATCCATTTTTGGTAGTAGTTCCTAATTGGTTACATATATCCTCATGAATTACAGGACTCCAAATCCTCTCTAATTCAATCCCAATAGCACTCTTCTGAAGTAATCGTTAATAGCATAAGTTAGCAATACTTTGAAATGGTTATGTGAAAGATAGGAAGGGCAAAGCTGTATCCTAACTTTACGTATGGTAATGATTTCTTTTACCTGAGTGAACATCTGTGATCATTAGTTTTAGATTATCGTTTCTTACAAGCAAATTTGCTCTAATCTCTTAAAACCACTTTGAAATTTCACATCATTAAGTTCAGGACCCTCCTTCCAGTTCCAAATGTATACTTGAGCACAACAGAGCACCTATTAAAGAAATGCTTGGCAACATAAAAATCGCAGCAGATGCGCAAGGTGCAAAGAGGCACAGGCATTAAGTTTAGCAGGCCAAAACCAAAAAAAAAAAAAAAGAAAAAAAGAAAAAAAAAGAAAAAAGAAGACCCTTTTCAGCTCTTCTGTTGTAATACAAGGACGACGTACAGACATACATAAAATAGACATTTCTTAGTCATCTGGAAATGTTTCAAATGACCTCAGAAGATCACCTCTGTTAGCTTGAGAGCTGTCATTTGTGTTATCTCCTTTCACATGTGGTATACTCGAGTCCTTTAATTTCAAAATCCTCTACAAATTTCCTTAGTGCATTTTAAGGGACTCTTACATAAAATACTTACAAATACAAAGACATAGAATAGTACAGACCCACATATAAGCCTCTAACATCCCAGTTATTTGTGACAAAGTCTTTTATCCCTCTGGTTTGTCTGCTAGCTACCCAGATTTTCATCCATGTGGTAACAGTCTTAACAAAACCAGTATGAATTATTTTTAAAGCGAAATTGAGATGGGTAAGAAATAAACAAGAAGCAGGATTTGAAATTCAGACAAACTTTTGAAACTACTGGAAAGAATTTGTGTATTTTTAATTGAATCATTTACATTTAAAAACTCAGAATTTCTAAAATGAACCACCATCCCTTCAGAAGTTTACTACTAGCACATTGTATGAACTACCTACTAAATCAATGCATAACAAAACACAAATGCACACACATTCCTCTCCGTACACTACGACTTCTACTGAGTGGGAAACTAAAACATTAAAGCCTGAGCTGTAATTTAAATTATGAACTCAAGATTCAATGACATTATGAATTCATAATTCTCTTATTACATTCTATTATCTTCATCATCTTGTTTTACTTTACCATCTTTATAAACAAAAAAAAAGGATCAAATTCAGGTATGTTCTTCCTTGTTTCCCAGCTGCTCAAACTGGATTGTTTTCCTTAGGAAATTATTTTACAGATACAAAGTCTGTATCCCGGTTTTGTGTGGGGTTTGGGTTTTTGGTGGTTTCTGTTTGGTTGGTTGGGTTTTTGGGATTTTTGTTTTTTTCACCCCCTCCTCATTGTCCTTAATGAGGTTCTTCCCTTGCTCTGTTGATAACAATCTCTCTCACTTCACTCTCATTGGCAACCATGAAACCATTCTGGTTTTCACTGCCCTTCGTTTTTTTTCTGAAAGACTTATCTCTCCATGTATTCTTTTATTTCCCTTTCACAAAAGTGATGTTGTTTGTTATTAAAAATGTTTGTTAACTTCATGACAAAAACGCTACTTGGGCACAAAATCATGTCTCGTGATCCTGGTATTTCCAATCACTTACCCACAACTGTCATATTTAAGCAGCCCTGTGACAATCTTGTATTCTTCTCTGCAACATATCAAACCTGGACGTCCCTGACAGTCAGTTCAAATAGGCTAAAACAGATTAACTGTGATTCAGCAACAGGAAGTTTGACTTTGCATCAAGCATTTCTATGCGATATTGATCCAAATAATATTTTGTGCATGCTCTGAAAAATATCACAGCTTTTTAGAGATGGGGATAAACCTTAAAAACCAAACCTAAACTCCTAGATTAAGGCATTTGTACAACAATCCCACACTTGGAGAAATCTTTCAGTAGAACAATAATCCTTTGAAGTCCATTGCTGCTGCTACCTTCAGATGGCAAGTCCTTAGTGTCCAATGGGGTCCCAAACACTGTGTTTAACTGATTAACCAGATTTCAGTGGCAGCCATAGCTGCATTAACATTTCCAATTTGAAGCAGCTATGGGTAAACATTTAGGATTTATATACCTGTGTTACCCAGTGCTAAATATTTTACCATCTAAAGGACACAATAGTTTCCAACAAATGAAAGATTTTTCTCTCTGCATGATAAAGAAAAGCTACCCAAAACACAGTCATCTTTCCCTTTTCTGCTTTCTCCAATAACTTGAAAAATATCAAGAGAACTTTGTTGCAGACAGACTTTGAAAACTACGCATTATCTTGTCAGAAAACAAAGAGCTTTTTTACCAATGCTTTGACAGTTTAGAACTTGTTTAACCAGCCTCCCATTTTGGGGAAGTATCTCTAGATATTCCCTCTTCAGGTCCAGTCATCTGTGGCCTACACACCAAGAAAACATGGTCAAATAGCGACCAAAGTAAAATTTGTGAAGCAAATCTTGATTAAGAATTTGTATGATCTTGCAAATAAGTTTGTTCATTAAAAAAAAAGTTTCACATTAGTCACATCAGAACTAGATTTCAAGCTATTTTCATAGCCGAGAAGAACATCACTATTTCCCATATACAAGTAAAGCTGCACCCACGATGGCTTAAGGATATCGTAAAGGCACCTTCTATGAGATCATCAAATACCTCAAGGAAAAAAAAAACAACTACTTTTGAACATGAAACCCTGCTTCAGGGTTGAGAAAGATTTGCACAGGATACTGCACCCAGAAAAAGTCAATAGTCCCATGTTAACAACATATGGCCTCACTCTTAAGGACAGCACACAGAATAAGGATATAACATTCCCATGCAGAACTGCTGGAGTTCTGATAATGTTAACTGAATATTTAAATTTAATTAAGCTTTCATGAGTAATCTCTGTATTTCAGCAGCCTGTACCAACCAGCTAATGGCAGAATATATCAGATTACCAAAAAAAAACCCTATGTAAAGAAAACATGATGTACTTAAACTTCCATAGTCACTGACATTATCAACAGGTGAAAATAAAAATGGAAACAATTTACTTATTTCTTTTAATGCACAGAAAATTGAGTTTCCTGGAAGGATTCAACAAAACCATAAGCTATGTTATGATTCAAGATGCAAATATGCATTATTTTAAAAAGCAGTGAGAAAATTTCTGAGCCATTTTGCTGCAGTCATTCATGTTGACTGGCTTGGATGGAGTCTGTTGATGCTCAGCAGCATGGTTTGGGGACTCACAAAAACAATAAGTAGTCTGCAGTGAGTTTATAAACATGTATGTTTGGGGTTTTTTAAATATCTTTTTTAAAAACAAATCTGAGTATTTAAAATTGTTTGCATATCACAGTATATGTAACATTTAATCAAAATACTGTCCACCAAGCACAGAGGATGAAACAGCAAAGCAGACCATCTGACAGACAGAGTTTGAAGCTGTCTGCTACAGTACAAGTAAAATAAATAACTGTATTAAAAGATTAATTTATTACCCCAGTGAGGCAGTATGTTGGGTGCTAACCACCTAGTGCCACAGAATGCAAGGTCACATATAAAATAAGATTTTATAAAATTTCACTTTTCATTAGTCTGCCAAAACTTCTAAGAATACATATAAACACTGCCTACAATAAAGAATAAAGATGCTGCATCCTCTGGCTGATAAGAGCAACTCTGTCGATTAATACAGGAATAGTTAGCCTGTATAGACTTCCAAATTTTGGCTTCTGTATCGTACACTCAGCTTTTCAATCAATTCTCCAGTTTTTGACATCACTACTCATTTCTCCTTTTCCTCCTTACACTTTAGGCAGACAGTCCAAGGAGTGAGACTTAAGCAGGCACTAAAACTCTTTCATTCAAATATAGAGGGGGGGCAGGGGGGGAAGGTTTAATTAGGATTGGTATAGAGCTGAAGCTAAAAACACTGAGCATTAAGGACTATGTCAAAGAGCACTGTCTTCATTAATAAACCTACTAACCTTCAGAATAAGGTTATCATTTCAGACTGAATTTATATCTAGTAGAAAATCAGGCTATAACTGAGAAAGAGATCTCTGTCATGTAGCTATTACATGACTATATCACTTCTGTACTGGATGTAGATTTGCAGTCACAAATATGAACAATGCAGACATTAGGGAAGAAGCTATACTGACACCTGTATCGTCATTATTTCACCTCATGATGGCAGGGGTTATCAGATTATCAGAGCACAGAGGAGCCATCTGGGTACTGCAGAGCCTTGGAGACCAACCTGAGAGCACAAGGACACATCAACCTTTTCGCTACTGTGCAATCACAGATTGCTGACAACACACCATATCATGAGCAGGGCAGCGCCGAGGCAGAAATGGTTATTTCCAAGGATCTAGAACTAATACAGTATTATATATATCATCGTCTACGATGGAATGAAAACAATTTTCCAGACTGAAAACTGATAGATAAGAGAGGTATGCTTTTTTAAAGTTGTGTTTAGAAACTACACATCTTCAAAATACACCAACACAGAGCTACCAAAACAATAATTAAAATATGAACACAGATGGACTGTGCCTTTTTTTTTTTCTTTTTTTTTTCTTTTTTTTTTTTTTTAATTTGGGTTACATGGAATACCTAAATTGTAATTGCAGGTAAAAAGTGGGACTGTGTAAAGATCAAGTAATCTGCCACAACTGCCGCCAGCTCACAGTTTCGTCTTACAGTACGCTAACATGAAGTAAGAACAATTTTCATCATGTAAGGAATTTTTCTTCCTCCTTTTTAAAGTTCAGGATTACAGACAAAATCCTGAAAATATTTACTCTATAGATTTGCAAAGTATAAAGCAAATGAAAACTTTCCAAAGTTAACATTCACCTCCTGATTATTAACAATTCCTTCTGATTTTGGAAGGCCTGAGATGATGAAAGCGCTAAGTTATTCTGACTGCAAGGTGTCCTGATAAAAACAGCACTCATAAACCCTCAGGTCAAAATATGCACGGTGTATATGAATCTGCCTGGCCAGCTTCAAACTTTGTGCACTAATACCAACTTAGTATCAGGCAGCCAAGGAATCCATCTACTTATCTTGCCTTTAGATCCATTTTTGCAGTCTGTACCAAGGTCCCTCACATTAGCTACCTTGGATACTTTCACACTATACGATGATCACTCACTACGGTACAGATCTAACTTGACATAAGAGTTTCTTACCACTGAGATCTTTTACAGAACTTGATTGAAATAATTGATTTTCTCTTCCAGGGAAAGACAACGCTAACAGAAAAAAAGTTGCATGGACAGAAGATGGGGTGGGTTTTTTCCTGGTTTTAAGGGTGCTTTTTTAGTTTTGTTTTTGTTTGGGATGTGTTTTTTATTTGGGTTTTTTTGTTTGTTTGTGTTGCTGTGGGGTTTTTTGTTTAGCTTGGGGGGTGGGATGACAAAACACAGTTTATGAGTGTTTTTTTTCGTAAGAAATACTTCTGTATGTGAATCAGGAAGCAAGGTAAAAATATACACTATGCATGTATATTTTTGGGTATACTTCCCCATCAATAAGGTGCAAGAGGGAGTTCTGCAATGCTAGCTGAAAGGAATTTAGAAGTGGGATAAAGATACATAGCTTGATAATTCTTGTTCTGGAAGAAATTATACTTGGGATTTTCTTTGTAAATAAACAGGATTGCATAATCATGGAACTACGTATTTTTAAGTCAATATTCTCAGCTAGAATTACCCACAAAACGTCAAGTTCTTGGTTAATAGCTCAGGTCAGAAGAGGCAGAAATATATAATGGTTTGAACAAAAAAAGAAAAGCAACAACAAAAAAAATCACCCTATAAAATTGCTAATGCTGACTTTCCACAGATTTCAAATTACAAGAAGTCAAAAATGCTATATATAAAGTAGTCCAAAGAAGCAAGAATTAAAGTTAAAAAAATTGGCATTGCTTCTATTTTAAAACTCATGAGAGCTACTTTGTGGTGGTGATTTGCCACTTTTCATAATGTCTTTTAAGGAGAAAAGTTTCCAAGAAAGAGATAGAACTACAATAAATGTATATTTTAAAAATAGACTGTAATCTCACAATCCCTACTAAATAAACACTGCTGTTGATGCAAGCTTCACTGTACTCTACAGCAGTACAAGTTGCCCAAGATACTTTTAAAACATGCAGACTAAAACATGCAAAAAATTTATCCATAACCCCCCAAAGCCCTGTTTTCTGGGAGAGAAAGAATTTACAGAGACTCAATACAATTCTACCCTCTCTTTTCCCCTGCTCCCTCATTGCCTTTATTAACTCAATATGCTCCTACGCTCACTTTAAAGACTTTGTTGCTATGGGAATTTATTTCCATATTTTATTGTCAAGGAGAAAAATGAGATTTTGGTGATTAAATGTCACAGAAGCTCTGATTTTTGCACAGCCCAATCAGATCTACAGCCCTAGAAATAATCTGTGTATGCGTCTGAAAGTCCTACCACTCTGATCATAAAAAGGTACCTATGTTCTCAAGGCACCTAAAAGCCAGGTACACAAATTCTCTCTCCCTTCCCCAAAAACTTTTGGATAATTTTAACATAATTTCCTCATGTGCATTTTCAATTAGTTTCCTAGAAACTTAGAAACAAAAAATATTTTGTTTTCCCCCTCCTCCCAATGTGGACTATCCACAGTATCAAGGGATGATTCTCTTTTCTAAGAGACATTCAAGGTTAGTGAGGCTAGAAATTTACCTCCTAACAACTGACCCATAAAGTCAGCTACAGGATTGCAAGCCTAGCTTCCTTCCCTCTCCATACCTAATCTACATTGCAGCTGGAAAAAGAAATACAGGCATATGTACAAAATATCATTCAGTTCCTCCAGTAAATATGCCAGAAAATGTTTGCTGCCTTCTGTCACAACTGGCTGTTTCCACTGTAAATCTCATACACTTGTATTTTCCCCCTTTTTAATATTGTGACTGTCTTAATGTTTAGAATCACTCACCCTGGAAAAAGTGTGCACATAATCATTAAATCATTACAACTTAAATAAAAATGAGCATAAGCCAGGAAAATCAAAATTTAACCAAATACCAAGAGAAAAGTCTCCCTCGTGGCTGAGGGTTTGCGTATATTCCTGCTCCTTCAACACATGTTCTTCCAGGTCTGGAAGCAGAGCTCATGCTCATGTACCAGGAATGGCTCTCTCTTGAGTAGGACTCTAGCAAGACAACTGTCTTCGAGAACACTGTTCTATCAGATAGACTCAGGCAATGCCTTCCAGGCACTACAATTCTGAAGCTTAGGTGACCACAGTTAAGATGCTTCAAAAAATCAGGAGCCTGATCTTCACATACCCTCAGCAGTGTTCTCTTTCCCGAACGTGCTGTAACACACTGCTGGGAGTAAGAACTCAGAGCATCCAGAAAGCGCACCTGCTCCCTAATCTATTTGATTCTGACCAGGGACATACTCATGGGTTTTTTCTCTTCTGGCACTATTAGCCCAGGCCCCAACTGCTGGGAGCAGACAGTCTAGCTTGCTATTTAGGTGTGACCAACCAAGTGCAATGAGTCCATTTAGTAAAGCCCACTAGGAGCTACAAGGATTCAGCATTCATCACATCAGGACATCTAGGTGCCTAAACATGACACTAGGAGGCTAGTGTAAAGTATTCATGATGGAACATTTGTATGCAAGGCGCAGGGGCAAACTTTCTGTCTGGCATTTAACAAACACCAGGGATACATACTTGATTACACAATCATGAACAAATGCATTTTAACCAAGACACCGAAACAGGTTTAAGCAGAAAGGCGTAACTCCTGAAGCAAATCTACATGAAAGGAATTACACCAGGAGATATTTAAGTCATTAAGACACCACTTAACTCGAGCATTGCAGGGTTTTTTTTTTTCCCATTTTGTGGCCAGTACCCAGACAACTGACTCATGGGAGAAGCAGAACTAGAGAGGAAAGGGACACAACTTTCCAGCTTGTGAACAAACAGAAAATTGAAGATGGGCCAAAGCTGCATATATTTTTTATCCCTCAAAGTTCACAGGTACCCAAGTCCCCTTATCTCAGCATAAAATACTTAATATGTTGACCATCCCTTCCAAAAAGCATGAAATTTATCTGCTCTTTAATACTGATATTTTAAACAGGAACATTGCCAGCTCTTAGAAAAACACAGTTTTACAAAGCTTCTTCAATTAGGGAGCTAATCACTAAGAGAAAGAAAAAACAACACCTGCAAATATTCCTCACGTTCTGAAACTGTTGTTATACTCTATGGCAAGTTTGGTGCTTTCAGTTGATTCATTAAATGTTTTTAAAACATTAAAAGTTAGGAAAGTAACACTGTCAGCTTGATATTGTTTGCACAGGTTTTGTAAACTGGCAAGTAGCAAGCCCACCAATGTCCTGTAATTAAACACCACCATGAAAAATTCATGCTCTTCTTGATGTTACTAATTGGCATGTAACCTCAGAATGAAAAATAAGTGCTAAGACCAACTGTGCAAAGTCCCCGGAATCTTTTTCACCCTGTGCCTCAAAGAATCCCTTTTAAGCCAGGGAGGAGAATGGAAGACCACAGCATACTTTGTGTGCTACCGTGCAGTATAAATCTTACGCAAGACTGAAGACAGTGACAACCTTTCTCTAGCAAACTATCCTCTCTGTTAAAGGGAAGGTTCTTCATTTCTTCGCAGTCTCTGTAAATAGGAAAAGGCTTCTCTTTTTTAAATTTACTTACTTGTTTATTAAAGAGGCCTTTGCCTTTTCCATCTTTTCAGAGAGGCATTCTCAAATATAGGCTCCAAAATATTATTGTAGACTTTAAGCAGGCAGACAAAAGTAACGCAGATTTTAGTAGCAACTCCAATAAAGACACTACAGATCTAATATTAAAATATAACCCATTTTAAGCCAGCGACTTCAGTAAGATAGCGTATGATTCCTCATTTTTAAAAACCACATTTGTTAAATTTGCCTTAGGACGCTGTATTTCTGTCATATGTGATCTGTTTCAGTGATTTAAATCATGCCACGAAAATATTTTCAGGAAACAAAAGCTATTTATACATATTGATGTCCAATTCAGTACCACTCCACTGCCATCACAGGGACCTACAGGAGATCAGTATCTCTGAGAAGAGAGATAGAGGAGGCCAATCTTGCTTTTCTTATTTCAGGATCAAAAGGAAAAACAGCAAGCAGCTGTGGGAACTACAGGAAACAGCAGTGTTAGCTACTTGAAATTGTCAAGAAAGGAGTAAATTGCAAAAAGCTTCTTTTGTCTAGGAAATATCTTCTGGGGGGAGGAGGAGTGATGGTCAAGACCACACAGGCCTCATGCTGCTGCCATCCAGCAGAGTGAAGAGAAAAGCACCAGGCTGGCTCACCCGCAAATATGAGCAATGTATGTGCAGGCACATTCGTCTCAGCATTTCCACAATTTTGTACAGACTTAAAGCTGCCAGAAAAATTAACCCCCAGCTGACCACCACAGAACGAAAGATCATAGCCAGGGAACTAACTGGGCCCCAGCTGGAGCTCCCCATCTTTTCCTCAGCTCTTGAAATGCAAAAGGTTACGCAGCACACAAATGCAATGTTTAACAGCTTAGCATACCT